CGTAGTTCCCAAGTGACATATGGTATTAAGCATCATTTTATATGTTTACTTGACATCTCTGTCTTCTCTGGTGAGGTATGTGTTCATATCTTTTACTCATTTTTTAAACTGGGTTATTACCTTTTAAAAAATATTTTTATTTTTATTATTATTTTTTTTTTTTTACTGATTTCAGAACAAAAGGGAGGGAGAAACAAAAACATCAATGATGAGAGAGAATCATTAATGGGCTGCCTCCTGCACCCCTGGACTGGGGACTCAGCCAGCAACCCCGCATTTGCTCTTGATGGGAAGTGAACCTGGGGCTCTTCAGTCCACAGGCCCACACTCTATCCACTGAGCCAAACTCTCTAGGATGTGTCATTAACTCTTTATTATTGAGTTGCAAGAGTTACTTATAGATTCCATCAGTCCCTTATCAGATATATGATTTGCAAAGTTTTTCTTTCCTTCTATGAGTTGTCTTTTTAATGTTTTGATGGCTAACATTTGCAGCACAAAAGTTAATTTTGTGTTGTCAATGGCGTTATCTCCTAATGACTTGCATTCCTATCATTTGTGGCCAGAGGGTAACAAAAGTAAGCTAGACTGGGCTGTGGAAACCTTGAGAAAAGAGACAAGAGACGGCTGGGGAGAGGCCCTGAGGCAAAGACGTGGGTAAAGGGGACCTGAGTGAAAGAAGCACCACTAGCTCTGTACTTGACCAAAGTTCCCAGCGGGGATCCCGTTTGCTTTGTAGCCCAGCAGATAGGCCGGCTGCTCCGCCAGAATCCTGCACCCTCTCCTCCTGCAGATTCGGGACGGGGTCAGCCCGGGAGGGGTCTTGTCTGTGAGTACTCCCATCCGTCGCTGACTTTTCTGTATTTCTCTGAGAAAGGGAAACACACGTGTAAAGGGAGTGTTTGAGGTTCCCTCTATCTATATAGTAAATACCAGTGTTTAATGTTCCTCAAGGGCTGGGCCTCTGCTTCACTTATCTTTTCCTCTCTCAGCACTTCAAACCCGGCCCACAGCCTTCCGGTAAGTGTTGGTTCAGAGTGGCAGAGGTGAGCGGCCACAGACAGGGCCAGAGGGAGGGCTTGCTGTCTGCTGCTGAGGATGCTGGCCTGCAGTAAGTCTCGGAGAGTTGTCTCTGTTGACAACAAGCAACTAATAATTTCTGATTCCTACTGTCTACAGGGGCTGATGGCTCCCGAGATAGATATGGGGGCCGGAGAACTCTCTGGAGAGTGAAGAAACTAAAGCCCTTGTCACCTCTGCGCTGCGTTTGTAGGGGGAGAGGGAGGAGGAGGAGGAGCAGGAGGAGGTGGAGCCTCTCGGCAGGCCTCTGCCAGTGGAGGGTGGGAAGCCTCTCCTCCTTCCCCTCCCCGTGCCTCCACCTGGCTCCTCCCCTCGTCCCCCGAGCTCCCCTCCCCACTTCTCCAAGGACAGTGTGCAAGCAAGCCGCGTCCGGGAAGAGCTAGAACAAAAAGGCAAGAGGGGCCCTTGGGTCACCAGCGAGGGGGAAAGCTGAGAGCGACGCGGGCAGGACCGCTCTGGGCGGAGGCGGTGGGGAGGACCGTAGGGGGAAGGAGCCGCAGGGAAAGAAGAGGTGGTGTGGCATCCAAAGCCCGAGGGGGGATGGGTAGAGCAGTCCTGAGCGTTCACCCTAAGCCCCTGGGCTCACGTCCCGCTGCTTCCACGCACAGCCCGTTCCCTGGGAGTCAGGGATGGGCGGAAGGCGCTTGGACCTTGTTGCTCTTTGGCTGGTAGGCTCTCATCCTGGCACTCATCCAATTCAAATCAGTGCACCTACGATGCCTGCGACTCTTATTTCCTCCCTCCTGCTTCTCCACACACACGTGATTCTATGTTTAGGTTGGAGTATGTCTTCGTTTTTACGCAAGTGTCCCTGTGGATCTATAAAGGATGCTTATATTTGAATCTGCTTGCGTGTCCGGGTCCTGTCCCTGTGTAACTGTCTTAGACATGCAGAAGAATCAGAGCAGTTTTTTTTGGGTGTGTGTGATCAGCACTACTAGTCTCCTTGCAATGGTGAATTCGCTCCCAGGTGTGGGTTTCTGGGGCCCAGGAGCTCCCAGAGTGAATGAGGAAGAAAACAACGTAGGGGAAAAGGGATCCGCATACTCCTGTTTTGGTCTTTTCTTTACAAATGTTTACCTTCCTATTTGCACCAGCCTCTTAGTCTTTCGTTGTTTTTTTTTTTTTTTTTTTTTTTTTTTTTTTTTTTTTTGAGAACAGTAGACATTTGGACATGAACGCTAAATAGGAGATTGTTTCTAACCACATGTTTATATTTCCTTTAGCATTTGGTTTCTTTGGTCCTTTTTGCATCTGTATGTGTTAGAAGTACAGATAATACGAAGCTGTATCCGTATCTAAACATATTTAACATTTTTCATATGTTTGTGTCCATTTTGTGTTGTCCGTCAGTTCACGAATGCTTTCAACAGGTATTTATTGAACTGCTGTTATGTGCATAGACTTTGCTAGACTTTGGCAGGCTGTGGGAGAGTTTTAAGACATGGACATGATCCCTCCCTGGGTGAGTTTTTAGTCTAGTCAGGGAAAATGACTTTAGTAATCATCGGGCTGTAAACATTTTCAATAAAAATGGTAAATATCTTAGGCTATGCAGAGCATCTGGCCTCTCTGGGCAATAATCTGCTCTCTTGTTGTAGCACAAAAGCACCCATAGATGATACATGAAAGTATGAGAGTGGTATGGACACTGAAATTACAATTTTATATAATTTTCACATGTCATGAAATTCTTTTTTCAACCGTTTTAAAATGAAAAGGGCTAGATTTGGCCTAGGGGTTGTAATTTGCTAACTCCTGATCTAGTCTAACCTTCTTTCCAATAAATAATATGCAATTCAAATACTACAGAAAGTAATAATTAAGTGCCACATGAATGATCCAGGTCCAGGCAATTTGTTACTAGAGGAGGTCCAAAAAGGAACCCTCTTTGACCTGTGGTCATCAGTGAAGGCTAAGTAGGTTTGATAGGGGTGCGACTAGGATGGGTCTTCAATGATGGGGCGGGATATTATCTCTGGAAAAGGCGCCAGGACAATCAGGAACTGCATCGCTTTCTGGAAAAGGAATGCAGTGTGTCCAGGCACAGAAGTGTGGAGGAGCAAGCATTGTTCAGATGATGATGAAACAGAATTCGGGAGCAAAGGTAAAGCTCCAGGCAAGGGCTAGATCTTGGAAGCTTTGAATGCCAACCCAAGAAGTCTGGACTTACCTGTCAGCACCGATCATATGAAGTATGTCTGTGAATCTGTGTCTCTTAATAATGTTCTGTGTGTATGTATTCATGAGTCTCATTGCATGCATTTTATTGGCAAGTGTGTGGATCTGTGTTTATGTGACCTATGTCTTTATCGGCAGTTACCTTATTTTCCCAGATGCACAGCAGAAACATGGTTTGTGCTTAAAGGTCATCACCCTCTGTTCATGTGAATGAATCTTCTCTCCACTGAGGCCTCAGAGGTCTATGACCTTCCATGGAGGTTTATTTTGTGTCTCTAATAGAGTGGACAAGGGAAACAAGGAGAGGGAGACAAGCTATTGTGGTGGACAATTCAGATGGAAAGAGGCAGCGAGGATAGACGAGACTGGAATGATAATAAGAAGGGAGAATAGACCTTGCCAGTTTGGCTCAGAGGATAGAGCATTGGCCTGTGGACCGAAGGGTCCCGGGTTCAATTCCGGTCAAGAGCACATACCTTAGTTTTAGGCCCCTCCCTGCCCCAGGCCCTGGTCAGAGTTCCTGCAGGAGGCAACCAGTCGATGTGTTTCTCTCACATCAGTGTTTCTCTCTGACTTCCCCTCTCTCTTCCACTCTCTAAAAATCAATAGAAAAGTATCCTCAAATGGGGATTAACAAAACAAAAAAAACAAAAACAAGAAAAAGGAGAATAATAGGATTTGGTAACTTTTGATCTGAGAGTAAGGAGTAAGGAGGAAATAAATTTTAAAATATAATATTTTAGCCTGGATAACTGGGAGAATGATGATTCCATTGACATTTTATGGACACAAAAGGATGTCTTGTGTGTTCCTTCGAGAGAGATAAACCCTAAAGACAAAAATATGAAGGTGCTCACATGTTGTGTGCACATATCTGTGTATGTGTGACAGTGATTTTGTGTTATGCTTCTCCTTTGATCACATGTAGTGTGAAGGGCGAGGGCTGAAGACAAAGGATCAAGAGATATTCAGGAGGTGAATAGCCTGGGAGTGATTGGAAAAACCATAGAAAGTCCCTAACTGTATGATGACAGGAGATCTGACTTTGGGTGGTGGGCACATGGTGCAATACACAGAGATCTTATAACATAGAAACCCACACCTGAAACGTGTATATTCATGTTGACCAATGTCACCTCAATAAGTTTAGTAAATAAATATTAAAAAAATAATAATAAAAAGAAAGTCCCTAACCATTCCTGAGCCTGACACTGTTAACATGCCCAAGCTCTAATGCACCTTTAAACCTTCAAGTCCAGTTCCCACTTAGCCCAATTCCATAACACCCAGCCCTAATCTTAACCATAATCCAACCTATCTTCGCTTTTCTGCTTTCCCTTTGCTAGGACCCATCTGATTCCTATGCTCTGCAACAGCCCTTCCCTTCATTAAAAGGAAGGATCCCTAAGACTAACTTAACTTTCTCCTTCCTTTTTCATTTCTGCCCAGTCAATCGCTCTTCTCCTTGACCTTTGCTTATTCTACAAATAGGCTCCCATTGGCAGGATCAGCCAGGACTTTTGTGGTCTCGGGCTTGATGACTGTGACATTTCAGCTTGTCACTCTGGGAGTGTGTGCCTCTCTTTTGGAAGAAATTCAAGCTCTCAGGCTGCAAAGCCCAGACTCCATTTAGTGAGAGAGCCTGACTGAAGTGGCTCTATCCAGTCTAACGGCCGTTTCCAGAGCTCCTAGCACCTTGATCCAGCTTGTATCTTAACTGATTACTATTTACATTCTAGACTGGATCATGACCCATGAAGAGCATCATGCAGCCAGAACCCTGGGGAAAGGCAAAGCCATCGCCGTGCTAACCTCTGGTGGAGATGCCCAAGGTAAGGAGGAGGGCCCTGCTTGGTTAGAGACAAAAACATGGCTGATGGGCCCCCTTGAGCTTCTTGACTCCCCTTCGCCTGTCGAATGAACTATCCTCCGGTTACAGATTCACACTGGAATCTTGGTTTTCCTAAAAATCTCTCATCTGCTTTGGATTTTATTTTCTCTACTTTTATTTACCTAAATCTTCATAAAACTTCTTTCCAAATTTCTCTGAAGATGTGGGTTCATTTGGGTTCTTTGGTACCTAAAAGACGGATGTTGTCTCAAAGAACATTGGAAAGAAAGAGACTGATGATATAAAATGATTGAGGAGCAAGTAGATAGATTCACTTCAAGTACCGTGGAAATGTTGGGAAAAGGGGGAGATCCAGTATTTGGTGGGCTCTAGCTAGAGCTTCAGTATTAACTCTGATGTCTACAGAATTCCTGCACTGACTAGGGTCAGGCACCTCACTCTTACAGCACATGTCCTTCTTCTAGGCAGAGTTCTGCTCCATTCTGTTTTCTCTGGCCTTCCTCCCCTTCCAGCCCTTTAGTCCTTGAACACACAGAACAGCAGCAGTTATTTAGTGCAGATTCATGGTGGGGATGGGCAGTGGGCAGAAAGCCAGAGGGAACCCATTTCTGAGTTGCGTTTAAGAAAAATCAGGTTTGCCCTAACCGGTTTGGCTCAGTGGATAGAGCGTCAGCCTGCAGACTGAAGGGTCCCAGGTTTGATTCTGGTCAAGGGCATGTACCTAGGTTATGAGTACATCCCCAGTGAGGAGTGTGCAGGAGGCAGCTGATCGATGTTTCTCTCAAAGATGTTTCTAACTCTCTATCCCTCTCTCTTCTTCTCTGTAAAAAATAATAATAAAATATATATTAAAGAAGAAAGAAAGAAAAATCAGGTTTATGGAAATGGAAGTGGGAAATAGATGTGTGATTTATTTTACTTTTCCCCTCCTTTGATGATCTTGTATATTCTAACTTAATACCTTGAAGAGAGGCCGAATCTCTTTGAAAGGGATTCTGGGACATGGAGGCTGTGAAGAGAGAGAGAAGGAAAGGGATTTCAGCTAGTGTCCCCTTCCTCTGCACCACTCTCCCTAGGCTTTCTGATGCTTTGTGGTAAGCACACACTTTGTATAGAGCCCTGTCTCATATGTTGTAAAGAAGGTGATTTTCTTTGGGAACTTACAGTTTAATGAGAAAAGATGTCATACATTACTAGAATGCCTATGTAGGACACATAAATAGCAATTATCAAGTGTGCTTAACCCAGTAGAATCCACTTATACAATGAAAAGATAGGATTAACCAAGGAAAACTTCACAGAGAAGATAGATTTCAAGAAACTGAACTCTTCATTCAGATAAAGTGCTTAGAACAGTGCCTGGCACATAGCAAGTACTCAATAAATGTATTATTAATTAAATAAAGTGAATAATTGAGCACCTGCCATGTATCAAGCAGGATGCTAAACACTAAGGCTATATTAATGAAGAAGTCACACATTGTTTTTGTGTTATTGTCCTTCTTGTTAGTATGCTAAACTTTAAGCATCTTTTTAAACTAACATTTATTTAGTTATAGTTGGATATATATTATGAATAGAAGAATGCTAGAATGAGGAAGCTGAGGAAAGAGGGCACAGAAGCCCAACTTTAGGAATAGTGGGAATATTACCGTGTTTCCCCAAAAATAAGACATCCTCTGAAAATAATACCTACTTACAGGTTTCCTTCTGAGTGAAATATAAGGCATCCCCCTGAAAATAAGGCCCCCCTATGCTAAACATGAGAGATTTGGTCCACTGATTCTGAAAGAAATGGAGTCACAAGAAATTGACCAGGAAATTCAGGAATTGGATTGTTATGATGTTCCAGAAGATGATGACATGATTGTCATTGAATAAATGAGTAAATTCTTGATACTGTAGGATTCACCGTTTGTCTGGTTTGTGTTGATAACTACTATACTACCGTACCATATACAGGTAATAAATTTCCTTTATTTTCATTTAACAATAAATGTGTATCATATTCTTCATGGAAAAATAAGACATCCCCTGAAAATAAGATCTAGCGCATCTTTGGAAGCAAAAATTAATATAAGACACTGTCTTATTTTCGGGGAAACAGGGTTGAATGCAGAGCCCAAATTGACGCTATAGAGACTGTTGACCTGGCTCCTCCCGCTTCACTCTTCTCTCCTGGAAATACTGAGCTCTTCAACATAAACTTTGAGTGTTGATCCTAAAACTTGGGTAGGATGGCCTGTGGAATGGGTCAAATTATAGGAAACAAGGACCTGGTAAAAGTACCAAGTGAGTCACCCAGAGTTGTGAAATTATGAAAAAGATCTCTCTGGAAAGGGAAAGAGGTAAGAGGAAAAAAAAGGTTTAGGATTTAATGTGGGTCTAAGAGCAACAGAGCCCTTCTGGCATCTAATCCTGAGCAGAGAGACCCTCTTATTCTAGAGATGACCATCACCGGTGTTAAACCTGTGTGGAGGGAAGGGTCATCTTTTGTGAAGACAGGGGCTATTGACAGGCTGATTTCTGGAAGGCCCACCTAGGACAAGGCCCGGGGGATTCTTTACAGAATCAGTGTACCCAGGGAGCTATCGCACTGTGAGTCCACAAAACATCACAGGTGCAGAGCAGTAGGCACCGAGAGTGGTGGAGGATGAAATCCTAGGGAGGTAAGGAAGCAAAGCACAAAGTCACAGTAGAGCTGAGAGGTCCCAACTGAAGGAGCAGCTCAGATGCAAGAGGCGGCCTGGTCAGGGATAAGTTTAGTGGTGCCTGTTCTCTCAGGAGCACAAAAGTATATTTTCCCTGGAGGCTAGGGTCCCATGGGAAAGTGAGGTTGGGCTCTGTGAAATCCATGGAAGTCATAGCTCTGTCATCCCCTGAGCCTTAGCAAAGCTAATAACCTCTTAAAGTAAAGAATGGTCAGGACCGAGGAGACATCCTGAGCTCAAAAGTTGGGCTGATTAGATACCAAATCTTAATTCTCTCCCCAGCCCTGCCCCCCTAAACCATGCCACAGTTGGCCTTAGGAAATCGGCATGTCTGTCGGAAAGGACCTCAGTCATCTGCTCTTACCCTCTGTCTTCAGACCGACAGTCCATTTAATTAATTTATTTCATTATTATTATTGTATTTTTTAATCCTCACACGAGGAATGAAGGTTTTTTTTTCCCCCATTTATTTTTAGAGAGAGTGGGAAAAGGGGCAAAGATGAGAGAGAGAGAGAGAGAGAGAGAGAGAGAGAGAGAGAGAGAGAGAGAGAGAAAGAGAGATGAAGTAAGAGAGACACATCAGTTTGTTGTCTTCCGTTTGCATCTTGCCCAGGGGATTGAACCTGCAACCGAGGTACGTGCCCTTGGGAATTGAACCCAAGTCTGTGGGCCAATGCTCTAACTACTGAGCACCCAGCCAGGGCCAGGCAGTTCATTTAAATGCATGTTCATTCTATTTTTACATGTTGACAGGAGCAGGGATTCTGTTCTTTCTGATTGCTATTCTAGGAGTTATAATTTTCAGTGACATATTCACCAGAAAGAGTAATTCACATGAAACAAATATTTATTTCTCTTATTTGGAGTTTAATAATTTTTCTCTTATTCAAAATTCAGTTAAGGTAGAAAGAAACATTTTAGCTTCCGCTTTAAAAAAAGATAGCAATCAAGTCATATATTAGTTTTATTTCTATCTTGTAGAGAACCATCACCCATAGTTTTTCTTCCCAAAGCCTCTTTCCAACAGGCTGTAACTAGAGACTCTAAAAAATTGCATGCTTCTGATGTTCTCCAGAGCCCCTCCTAGCTGTACCCAGAATACCCCCTGGCTGCTGCCTGTAATCTTATCCTTCATCTTGCTTCTAATAGGTCAGACAGCTGCTCATAGAGAGTTATTTGGGACAACATGGAACAGCCAAGGGGAGCCTGGCCAAGACTGGCCTGGGGCCAGAATAGGCCAATGAGTTTGGATAGCAGAGTCCAAAGAATTACTGGGACTCCCTACCATAAACCATCTATACATTCTGGTCTGTGATTTCTAGGGAGCTAGGAGTTTGAGACAGGTCCAGGGACACAAAGAGGGTTCTAAAACTCGATTTCTAAGAAAACACTCAGTTATCCCATTTAGAAGCAGGAAAGATGACCTCTAGAGGTTGGTAGGGTTGAGGTAAGAAGAAGGCAGAGGGAGGAGAGAAGAGAAAGAAAGAATTTTCTTTCCTTGTGAGATTTTTCTCCTGCCCAATGGACTTGGATATTTTGTGCCCACCATTTTTGTTTCCTCTACACTTAAAACCTTTTACTTATTTATTTTAAAATATATTTTTATTGATTTCAAAGAGGAAGGGAGAGGGAGAGAGAGATAGAAACATCACTATAGAGAGAGAATCACTAACTGGCTGCTTCCTACATGCCCCCACTGGGGATTGAGCCCACAATCCCTGCATGTGCCTTGACGGGTAATCGAGCCCTGATCTTCTGGTTCATAGGTTGACATTCAACCACTGAGCCACATGGGCTGGGCACACATAAGCTTTTCTTAAAGCTTCTGAGAAACCCCCTCCCTTCACAGACTTTTCAGTTTTGATTCCTTCAATGTGAGGGTGTTAACTCAGACCTCTAGCCTTATTTGCTTCAGTGATGTTGTAAATAAGCTTTGATATCAGTGCTCACCAATGATCTCTTGTTGGCATGCCCGACCTTGCGGTTGTTATTTTAATTATCAGAAGCATTAGACTCTGTTCCCACATCTTAAAAAACTGTCCCCTATGGCTTCAAAGACATTGCTAAGTCCTGGTCTCCTTTTGCCTTAAAGAGTTTCCTTCATGGATTCCTCATCCCCTGCCCATTCCTTCAATGTTGGTTTTCCTCCGGGTTTCTTTCCATGCCCTTTTCCCTTCTAATTCTTCGTATTCTCTTGAGACAGTCTCTTCCAAGTTCACCCGATGTCCCACAGGAACACAACTCAAAATATGAGTGTATCATCCCCACCCCTATCTTCCCAAATCAAAACCTGCCTCTGCTCAGTTAACTGCACAACAGTTTTACCTTTTGTGAAAGTCAGTCATGGGCATTTCCTCTTCTTCCACAAAACTTTGAAATCTAATCACATTGCTGATTAGATGTAAGTCCTATTGCTTCTGTTTCCTGGTGTCTCCTGTCCAGTATCTCTGTTTTGCAACAAATATCACTCTCATTTTTTGTCTGGGCTATCTGATGGCCATCCAATCTTTGTGCCATCTTTTTCAGTGTGTCCTCCACACTGCCAGAGCCATCTCCTGATATGTTGATCTCATCCTGTCCCTGCACTCCCACAGTGCTTCAGTGATTCTCCATAGTCTGTAACTTTTTTTGGTCACAAACTCTTTTAAGAATCAAATGAAAGCTGTGGACCTTCTTCCAGAAGAAGTGCCCATCCCCACAAAACCATTACCCATGGATCCTTAGTCAAACACTGGCCTACAGAATGATCCTTAGTCAAACACTGGTCCACTTTTTCACATAGCTTACAGGTGCCTGTCCACCTGTGTAGCTTCATCGCTCACCATTTCCTGTTTTATATTTTATTTTTTATAATACTGAATTACCTAAGGTTATTCCTTGAAACTTGCCTTTATTTGTGTTATTCTCCCTGCCTGGAACAATCTCCCCCAAATTGTCCACCTGACAAAAAAGATTAAATGGAAATTGTCCTGTAGGTCTCAGTACAAATGGTCTTTTCTATACAGCCTTCCCGGGCTTCCTCCTAGCAGCTGAAATGCTCCTTCTTCTTGTTCCCACTACACTTTGTACATGGACCCATATTGTCACCTTATTATAATTCTTCACAGGTCTTGAGGACCATTACCAAGCCCTTTATCTCTGTATCCCCTAACTCTGTGTTCTTCTCTGCTGTATCCCCAGTGCCTACATAGTGCCAGAAACATGATATATATTCACTAAATATTTGTTCAATGAGTGAATGGACCTCCAATATGGTTTGGAGCTTACAGCCATATTAGCCTAAAAAAACAAAACAACAACCAGAAGCAGACATTCTGGTTTTTTTTATTCTCTTCCTTTCCAGAGAGCTTTGGGTTATGAGTGTGTGGCAAATTTTAGTCTTGTGCTGCAGATTTTTCAATCACTGGCTTCTCTAGTGCTCACTGGTAGATGGTATTTCCCCAGGTAGTAGGGTTAAGGAGCATGCAACTAGATTTTAGATTGAAACAAAAATACATACTGGAATATCCTGAATAAGAAGTTGATCTCTTATGACACTATGATTCCTTGAACATCATCTTGAGTTCCTCCTCACATTATAAGCCAGAGAATCTCAACTGTGTGCTACACATTGGAACATACACCAACTCAAATGACACTAAAATGCTGTATATGTGTGAAGACTGGTCACTGAGCCTCAGAGAATAATGTCTTTGTCCTGAAAAGCCTACCAAAGCTGGATGTATGTCTAGATTCAGTGCAGAAGGCAAAAAAAAACACAAAAACAAACCTAGGATAGCCATTGAGATTAGGAGGACATAGCACGGAGGTCAGTAGTGTTGGTTTGGGCATTTTAGGACTTGGATTCATATCTGAGCTTTTTAAGAGTACTAGCTCTGTGACCTTGACCTCTTGGAACTTCAGTTTCCAAAATTTGTAAAATGGAGGCAACTCCAGGGTTGTGGATAGAATTAATTGAGATGATGTTTGATAAGCACTTAGTGGTATCTAACACAATAAGCATTCAAGATTATTATTCCCCAGATTGCCCTGGCAAGGAAAGATAGGATTTTTGGGAGAGAAAAATGAGGTGCGTATCTGGAGCCACATTAACATTGAGACCTGGAAGAGAGGAATATTCTAGATTTAGAAAAAAGCCCAGCCAGTGTGGTTCATTGGTTGAGCATCAACCTATAAACCAAAAGGTCAAGGTTCGATTTCCAATCAAGGCACATGCCCAGGTTGCGGCTCTGTCCCCAATTGGGTATGTGCAGGAGACAGCCTATCATGTTTCTGTCTCTCTTCCTCTCCCTTCCTTTCTCTGAAATCAATAAAAAAATTTTTTTTTTTTTTTTAAATAGGGAAAAAGCCTGGCCAGTGTGGTTCAGTGGTTAAGTGTTGACTTATGAACCAGGAAGTCACAGTTCGATTCCCACTCTGGGTACATGCCTGGGTTGAGGGCTCAATCCCCAATGTGGGGTAGGCAGGGAGCAGCCTATTAGTGATTCTTTAGCATTATTGCTGTTTCTGTCTCTCTCTCTCCCTCTCCCTTCCTCTCTGAAATCAATAAAATATATAAAACAAAATAAAATAGGAAAAAGAACTGTCTCCTATCTTGGATTAAAGGGCTGCTTTTCTTTGGAGTAACCTCTTTCTCACTTCTTTTCTCCTTGCAGGAATGAATGCTGCTGTCAGGGCTGTGGTCCGAGTTGGTATCTTTACTGGTGCCCGTGTCTTCTTTGTCCATGAGGTTGGTTGTCTACTTGGTTCTCCATTTCCTTTTTTCCTTTTTTTGCTACATGCTTAACCTGCTCCTTTCCTCTCCCCACTTCCTCTTCCTTACCTCCCAGTTACATTGCTGTGTCTGATTGTCTTGGCTCCCTCCCCGCTCTCAGCCTCAGTAATGATGGTAGGACCCAGGGATCTGAGGACTGGGTCCCCATGTTGCCTGTTCAGTTTAAAGGAAGAAATACTTGTCTTCCCTCCACCTTCCTCCAAAACAGAGAGAGAAGCTGAAGTGAGTTAGTATTTCACAGCAAATTGAGTAAATCCAGAGATAGAGCCGCAGGAGGAAAGAGTCCTAGATTTCTGTAGTTTGCCCAGCTTTCTGAGGTTCTAATTCCTCTTTGTTTCCCTTCTTTTCATTTCCTCTTGTTCTTTGTCATTTTTCTTTAGGGAAGTTTTAGCTGTCTTCTCTTAAATTGTATAGTCTCTTGTCTTTTCAAGTTACATTCCTCTCTCTCCCTCCAACATCCCCTTTTCTTCTCTGCTGTTACCAAAACCATCTGTTATGTAGTTCCCCTGGGAAGCAGGTTAGAGGAAATGGGATGAGCCAAGAACAGAGGAATTAAAATTAAGTATTAAGAAGGACGTAAAAAATGGGAGAAACTAGAAGAGGGTACTGAAACGTTAACATCTCCTTCCTTGGACTGTGTTAGTCTCACAGGTATCTGGGAATCTGTAATGGGAGCAGGTGACTTCATTCTCTGAGAACCTCTTCCCAGGTCCTGTCTTGGTCCTGGGAGTTCAGGGGAAAGCCTAGCAGAGACTGAATGGGTCTAATGTGCCCCACAGGGTTATCAAGGCCTGGTGGATGGTGGCGAGAACATCAGGGAAGCCACCTGGGAGAGCGTTTCGATGATGCTTCAGCTGGTACGTTCTAGAGGACGTTTGTCCTTGTTTCACCCCATGCTGCTTTGGGCTCATGGTTTCCCCAGTTCCCTGCCATGTGGTTTGATGGGAAGGGATTCAGTGACGAGGTAGGGGTTGTGTTTGCCCTTTACTCTTTGCATCTGAAAGTATCATCCTGGTTTTCTAAAATGAGATAGAGAGTGGGGATGTGATCATAGGACAGTTTGCTCTGTATATAAAGGTCATAGGCATGACTTGGGGAACTGACATGTAAGCAAGACCTGCTCTGGGGTCACAGGGAAGGTCTGGCCCTGAAAATAAGCTTACCCGAGGACTGGAGCCAGAGCCAGAAGTAAGGCTGAAATATGCTAGTCCTCATGTGATGGTGATGAGGTGGCCTGAAAGCAGATGGTTTAAGGGAGGGAGGAACCCAGAAAGCTTTTCAGAGTTAAAAATCAACCGAACAAACAAGCAAACGAAAAACTAAAAATACCCTGATCATATCCATAACCCTTTGTCTTTAAGTCATTCTTTAAGTCACTATGTACTCATTTTCTGATTTACTGAAAAATTTACAAATTATATTTGTATCTCCTTCCTTTGCCTCAATCCCCTACCACACCAGGGCAAGAAATTTAATGTGCAGGGCTTAGTGATGGTTCCAGGCAAGAGATGGTGCCTGCTGTAATGTGGCCTGGAAATGAGCCTGAAGTCTCCATCAGTGCCCCAAAGTTCTGCATATCAGAAGCTTATATGAATTTTGAAAAATAAGTGTATTTACCTCTCTTGGGGTATCTGTAAACCCTTGGACATTTAAGGCTTTCTATATCCAAAGCTATTGTTCCTGTGAATAACTGGGTATTGGGGTTCTTTCCACTCGCACCCGGATCCCACAGAGTGAAGGGAGAAGACTGGCAGTGCCCGGTTACAATTAGAAGTCACAGTGTGTGGAGAGGGGAAAATACTGCCAAGCACGTTGAGATGATGCAGTCCTTAATGTCAGGCCAGCAGGGAGAACTTCCAAAGGGTGGAGATTATTTCAAAAGCCAACAGGCATCTATCTATTCGCCTTGAGGAAAATCATGTTGATAACAAGGCCTTCAAGCAAATGGGTTGATCTTAGAAACCTTCCAAGAGGTGTAGCAGAATGGAGGAATGATGCTGTGACATCCCAGCCAATGTTATTGCCCCTTTCCTTTCAATGGAACAAATGACTCATTTTTTTTAGGCAGTTTTCAGCCTTTTTTTTTTTTTAATGCATTTTTAATATATATTTTATTGATTTTTTACAGAGAGGAAGGGAGAGAGATAGAGCGCTAGAAACGTTGATGGGAGAGAAACATCAATTAGTTGCCTCCTGCACACCCCCTACTGGGGATGTGCCTGCAACCAATGTACATGCCCTTGACCGGAATCAAACCTGGGACCCTTCAGTCCGCAGACTACTGAGTTAAACCGGTTTCGGCAGAACAAATGACTCTTAAAGATGTCAGGAAACTCCCCAGGGACCTCATGGTTATGTCAGCCCATTACAGAATTGGAATAGGGGAAATCTGAGCATGTTGAGCCCAAATTTGGCTGTGTCATCTGTTGAGCTGATTTCTCCCTCTTCCCCAAAGGGAGGCACAGTGATTGGCAGTGCCCGGTGCAAGGACTTTCGGGAACGAGAGGGGCGACTCCGAGCGGCCCACAACCTGGTGAAGCGTGGGATTACTAATCTGTGTGTCATTGGGGGTGATGGTAGCCTCACTGGAGCTGACACCTTCCGTTCTGAGTGGAGTGGCTTGTTGAATGACCTCCAGAAAGAGGGTGAGGCATTGCTCTCATCGGTATTGTTTGTGCGTGCACACATACACACACCTTCCCTTCCATTGGAGAAAGTCGTTACCTAAACAAAACAGGCAGTCTTTGTCTTCCTTTCTCTGCCATTGCTTACATTTCCCACTAGCTTCAGTTCCCCCTCTCTCTGGCCATCTGCTCTTTGGCATGCCGGGCACCTCACCCAGGGCTCCTGGTTTGCTTTCCATTGTCAGGTAAGATCACGGCTGAGGAGGCTAAAAAGTCTAGCTACCTGAACATCGTGGGTCTGGTTGGCTCAATTGACAATGACTTTTGTGGCACCGATATGACCATTGGTACTGACTCTGCCCTGCACCGGATCATAGAGATTGTAGATGCCATCACTACTACTGCTCAGAGGTAAGGGGCTGGGGGTGGGCCACGTGGGAGGATGGCAGCTGGGACAGACTAAGAGCTCCGAGCTAGAGAAGATGGAAGTGTTTGAGGTATAGTGACTATAATGACTAGTTTTCTGAGGTTAGAACACTTTTTAAACTAGGAATTATCCCTAGAGCAATGAAATTGTACTGCTCTCAAATGTGTAAGATAGGCTTCTTGCCTCTGTCTAGCCCACTGTCCAAACATGTAGCTCTGAGGTCTTTATACCTCTTGAGTCTCCCACATAATTAATGTCTAGACAGGTGAATCCAGGGAGCCCAAAAGCTGAGCCACCCTTTCCAACCACATCATAGAGATTGTAGAGGCCATTACCACCACGCTCAGCAGTTAGGGGGCTTGGAGGCCTAGGGTGGGAGAATGGGAGGACGAAGGGTAATAGTTTATCCCAGGGGAATTCTAAAGGATTCCAGGTTAGACACGTTCTCTCTTCTTCACTTCTTTTCCCTTTCTCTCCTTCTCTTCCCGAGCCCCGTCCCTTCTGGATCAGAGCCTCAGTACTGACACCTTTGCTTTTTTGTATTTTATATATGGTTGATTTCAGAGAGAAAGGGAGAGAAATAAAGAGATAGAAACATCAATGATGAGAGAGAATCATTGGTTGGCTGCCTCCTGCACATCCCCTACTGGAGGGAATTGAACTCACAACCCAGACATGTGGCCTTGGCCAGAATTAAACCTGGGACCCTTTAGTCTGCATGCCAACAATCTATCCACTGAGCCAAACTGTCTATAGCAGTACTGACTCCTTTCACTGCTATGTTCTCTCAGGCCTAGGAAGGACACCCTGTGGCTAAAGTGTTTCCCGTAGGTCTTACTGTTCCCTCAGGAAACCTGCTGGAAGGCCTAGCAGCAGACCAGGGGTTACCTGGTCTAACAGTGGGTACAGCTGATCTTAACCATAGGGACACTTGGACAGTGTGAGTGTCTTGTCTCTTGCAGCCACCAGAGAACGTTTGTGCTGGAGGTCATGGGCCGGCACTGTGGGTAAGATCCCCCATCTTGACTTGTTTATTCCATGGACCCAGCACTAGCCCTTTCCTTCTCCCTGTGGAGCCCAGAGAGGCCTCCAGTGGTACAGACCCTGAGGTGCACCTGTGCCTCTTGGTGTGGCCCCTTTCCCTGTCCCCACTGCACCTCCCATGTATGGCTACACGTGCGTCAGTGCACATGTGTGCACGTGCACAGGCACACGCAGTGTGAAAGAACAGGCAGTGCTCTGAGATGGAAGCCCCCTGTGGGAGGTGAGCCTGAATGGAGAGTGCCCTGCAGGGGCAGAATCTCTTTGGGAAGCTGGCTCAATAGTCACCCTCACCCCAAGAATGAAACTGAGGATCCTCAGTGCTTTCACCAGCGATGGGGACTGGCGAACGTGTTGGGTACGGGGAGGCTATCTGTGGAGTGCGGCTCCTAGCGTGATGCCTCTGGTTCTCGTCTCAGATACCTCGCCCTTGTCACCTCTCTCTCCTGCGGTGCCGACTGGGTGTTCATTCCGGAATGTCCACCGGATGACGACTGGGAGGAGCACCTGTGTCGCCGGCTGAGCGAGGTATTGGCATTTTTTTATTTTACTCTTAAACAATAAAATTCCTCGCCCTGTTTCAATGTTCCGTTTCCCTTCCATCGGTTTTATCCGCTGACCGTTTCCCGCTTTGTGCTTGACCAGACAAGGACCCGTGGTTCTCGTCTGAACATCATCATTGTGGCTGAGGGTGCCATTGACAAGCATGGGAAACCGATCACCTCAGAAGACGTCAAGAACGTTAGTATGCATGAAGTCATAGATGTCTTGAACACCTTCCCCACCCCGGGCCTGTTCCCTAATGATTTCTGAGTCTCTCCTTCGTCCTTCTTAAGTTGTGAAGATCTCTCCCAGGGTTCCCACCTGCTGGTTTCCTCCCACCAGGAATCATTATAAGACAAGAAGATAAGTTGTCCACGCTTTATCTATGTCTCTTTTTCTTTGACTCTGTATATCCCTTTCTCTGTTCCCCTCTTGGTCTCTCCAGCTGGTGGTAAAGCGTCTGGGATATGACACCCGGGTCACTGTCTTGGGGCATGTGCAGCGGGGTGGGACACCATCAGCCTTTGACCGAATCCTGGTAAGTCCTGGGGCTTGGTGGCCCTCCTGCCTTAGAACCCTCAGCTTGCTGTCCTTCCCCTGCAGTCTGTACCTCACTAGCACAGGCCCTTAAACCACTGGTCATGCTGCCCCGCCACCAGCCTCTGCAGTGGCTGGGCCCATTCCCTTACACTCAAGAGTTCGCTTCTGTTGCAAAAAATAATGGAAACTATATGATCCCCCAAGGGTGAGGTCTCCTATCAGAGCTATGAGCATCAGGGCAGTTGTTAAGATCTAATCTAACCTCAGACACTCAGTTTGAACCCTCTTATCCTAGTTTCATTGGAAGAGAGAGGCCATATCCTTCCTTGTTTTATCAATAAGAAGGGAATATTATTAAGCCTCATTGATCCCCTTGTCCGCTATAGTGGGACATGTTTCTCTGGAATCAAATAGTATCCTTATGGGGTTCTGATGGCAAGAGGACGAAGAGTCAGGAAGCTTTAGATGCAATCTGGGGAGGGAGGGAGAGCCCAGTAAGTTCTTGGCTACAGTCTTTAAATGTGGAAACCAACCCTGTGGGTTGGAAAGGGTGCTAAGCGCCCTGGTTCCCCAGGCCAGGCCAACATAGGGAGGCCTGAACCAGACTTTGCTCCTTGGGCTCCTCCAGGGCAGCAGGATGGGTGTGGAAGCAGTGATGGCACTACTGGAGGGGACCCCAGACACCCCAGCCTGTGTGGTGAGCCTGTCTGGTAACCAGGCTGTGCGCCTGCCTCTCATGGAGTGCGTCCAGGTGGTAAGTACTGATTCCAGTGCCCTTTCCTAATGCCCCAAACCTATCTCTGAGCTGGAGCTTATGGGGAAGGAGACCAGTTCCAGGGCTGCTGGGGGCAGCAGCACAGCAGAGTAAGAGACGTCTGGGGAAAGATGCCATGGGCTTTGCATAGCAGCCGTAACCTCTCCAACCCAGCCTCAGTTTCCCCATCTGTGACATGTTCCTAAAGAATGGGAGATTCTGCCGAGACTGGTTTGGCTCAATGGATAGAGCGTCGGCTTGGGGACTGAAGGGACCCGGGTTCGATTCCGGTCAAGGGCATGTACCTTGGTTGCGGGCATATCCCCAGTAGGGGGTGTGCAAGAGGCAGCTGATCGATGACTCTCTCTCATCGATGTTTCTAACTCTCTATCTCTCTCCCTTCCTCTCTGTACAAAATCAATAAAATATATAAAAAAAAAAAAAAAAAAAAAAAAAAAAAAAATAAAGAATGGGAGATTCTACATCTTGAGACCCATTATCTCATGATATCCAACCTCAAGCCGCCTTCATCAAGTCTATTAGAAGAGAAATGCAATATCTCTCCAAACTTTATTTATTTATTTATTTATTTAAAGTTTTAATTAATTTCAGAGAGAGGGAGGAAGGGAGAGAGACAGCTAGAAACATTGATAAGAGAGAAATATCAATTGGCTGCCTTCTGCATGTCCCTACTGGGCATCGAGTCTGCAACTCAGGCATGTGTCCTGACTGGGAATTGAACTGTGACTTCCTGGTTCATGGGTTGATGCTCAACCACTGATTTCCACCAACCACTGATTTACTCCAAACTTTATTTTTTTTATTTTTAAAATATATTTTTATTGATTTCAGAGAAGAAAGGAGAGGAAAAGAGGGATAGGAACATCAATGATGAGAGTGACTCATTGATTGGCTGCCTCCTGCACGCCCCCTACTAGGGATTGAGCCCACAATCTTGGCATGTGCCCTTGACCAGAATCGTACCTGGGATCCTTTAGTCTGCAGGCTGACGCTCTATCCACTGAGCCAAACCAGCTAGGGCTCTCCAAACTTGATTAAAAGCAGGGGATATTATTAAGGTCTGGCTAGGTAGCTTATATCTTCCTCTGATACCTTGGACATGCTTCTCTGCACTAACATAAGGTACTAATGCCCACGTGGAGGGCTGGTATAAAGATTGGAGAGGCCGAAACCGGTTTGGCCCAATGGTAGAGCATCGGTCTGCGGACTGAAAGGTCCCAGGTTCGATTCCGGTGAAGGGCATGTACATTGGTTGCGGGCACATCCCCAGTAGGGGGTGTGCAAGAAACATCTGGTCGATGTTTCTCTCTCATCGACGTTTCTAGCTCTCTATCTCTCTCCCTTCCTCTCTGTAAAAAAAAAAATCAATAAAAATATATTAAAAAAAAAAAAAAAAAAAAAAAGATTGGAGAGAAGCAATGTGAAGAGTTTGATGCAGTGCCTGGAAATGTTGCGTGCTCAGGAAATGGTGTGGCCCTTGTAGAGGAATCACTGATACCACAGAGCAAACATCGTGGCTGAGAGCTAAAGTGTCTGGCGTGGATGCTCAGGGCTGGCTCCCACCTCCTGGCTTGCTTCCCTCTGAGACTTGGGGTGCCAGTGACCTACAGCCCAGACCAGCTCCAGCCTTGCTTGGAACTGGATCTCCCAGAGCAGAAGTCCGTGGAGGGGGAGCACATGGCCGGGGTCAGCTTTCCTCCCCATCTGGGTTATCTGCAGGGTCTTCTTGATGCCCTCACTGGTTCAGGGGATACTTGAGGCTGGGCCCTGAGTGTGTGATGGAGGAAGATGCTGTTTTATATGTGAGCGACTCTTCCCGTCTTCTAATAAATAGAGCATTGGAGCAGCTTTCTTCTATTGCTGCTCATTACTCAGAAAACTAAGGGAAAAACAAGAGCACTTCTGGGAAAGTGTGAGTGGCATAGGAAAGGTGGGGTGCAGGGTGGACAGGACTTAGTCACCCGCCAGAGATGGGCAGGGTCTCCCTGTGGGATGGGCCTCCAGCTGTGCAAGACCTGCCCTGGAGTCACGATTGTTGCTGTGCTCCTCCCTCAGACCAAAGATGTGACCAAGGCCATGTCCGAGAAGAAGTTTGATGAAGCCCTGAAGCTGAGAGGCCGGTGAGGAATCGACCGGAAGTTCACTAGCTACAGCGATCAGATGCCAGATGAAGCCAAAAGTCACAGAGCTTCGGATCTAAAATAGGAGCCTCTCTCTCTTCCTCTTCTTGTTGTCTCTGCAAACTTTTCTTCCACAAGAGAATTAGTTGTGAAGTAACCTTGAGGCTCAGTTCATCCCAAGGATGCCCTCCCTGAGACTGGCCTGTTATAATTTATTCCTCTCTGTGGGGCCTGGCTAGATTATAAGTATCTGGGCAAGGGGAAGTCTCTGTGCTGAGCCTGGGGAGAAGAGTGCTCGGGAGGGTCCGATGAATTAGTGCCCCCTTTTCAGACCCTGCCAGTCCCTGCTGCTGCCCCACTTATGTCCTTAGAGATTTGCCCTGTGGAATTTCACATTGGGAGCAAAACTTCAGACCAGATCCCATTGGCTGCTGGCGTGGGGAACGGAGGAAAGACACCTCTCTCTACTTTTTACAGGAGCTTCATGAACAACTGGGAGGTGTACAAGCTTCTGGCTCATGTCAGACCCCCAGTGTCTAAGGTACTGGCAAGTCTTCACCCCTGCGTGCCCCCAGACTCCCTCTATGAAATGCTTCTCCCAACTCCTTAGCGCCTCAGCCTTTCCAGCTTCTTTGCCCCACTACCACCCCTCTCGGATAACTTTCTGTTAGCCACCCCCAGGCACCAGCCCTGTGTTCTTAGCATGCCCTGGATATCTCTGACCAGGACTCATGTCCAACTCAAGGGCTGACGTGATAGCACACAAGGGACAGGAAAGAGGGCTTAGGTATTATTTTCTCTGGGAAAATCGGAATAGTCACACCTAAGTGCATTGAACCCTCCTCTTCCACTGGAGGAGTGCTTATATTTATGTGGATCAGAGTCCCTGGTGCTGATGCAGATTCCTGGGTCATTCCTCCAGAGGGGATTTAGATCTGGGGCAGGGCCCAGGAAGAGGTAGATTTAATGAGCTCCCTAGATGGGTTCTGAAGCAAGTGGTCCGAGGATCTCACTTTGGGAAATGCTGCTCTGGAAGGTCTTGTTCATTATATAATGACCAGAGGCCTGCAAGGTTGGCCATCTGGGGAGGGACCGCAGGAGGGCTCCAGGGCATGTCTGGCCTATCTCGCTCAGTCCCAATTGGCCGGACCCCAGCAGCAAGCTAACCTTCCAGTCAGAGCGTCTTCCCCCTGGTGGTCAGTGCACATCATAGCGAGCAGTTGAGCAGCCTTAGCATATTATGCTTTGATTGATTGAACTGACGACCAGATACTTAGCATATTAGGCTTTTATTATATCTGAGGTCATGGACAACAGCTTTATTCACTGATTTGTGATATAAAATTTTGCTTCCATTGTATGAGGGAAGCAAGCTATGCAGGAGTTCCCTGAGAGAGGGGTGTGTGTTGTCAGGCAGATGTCCTGATCCAAGGACCACAAAGGGACTCAGCTCAGCTTCCTTTCTGACCTGTCCCCCCTTTTCCCCTGCTCCCTCTCTGCTTGCTCCTCCACAGACGGGCTTGCACACAGTGGCCGTGATGAATGTGGGGGCTCCGGCAGCAGGCATGAATGCCGCCGTCCGCTCCACCGTGAGAATTGGCCTCATCCAGGGCAACCGAGTCCTGGTTGTGCATGATGGCTTCGAGGGCCTGGCCAAGGGTCAGGTACGGGAGCCGAAAGGAAAGAGGGTGGTGGTCTGGGGCCATGGAGCAGTCATGGGGAGCACCTGTCTGTTCTCTTTTCTGCCCCTGTCCCTCACTACCTTTCTGTCTCATAATTCAAGCAGAAATAGATGATTAATTTTAGGACAGTAGAAACAGGCAAGGGCCACTGAATCGAACCTCTTGCAAGCCACACGTCTCATTTCATTCTCTATCCCAAAGCTCAACCGTGCCTCACATAAGTGGGCGCACATTATTTAGGAATGAGCAGAAAGGGCGGAAGATGTCCAACGAGGTGGGGAAAAGCCAGCCCTTGGTGGTCCTGTTCCAACCAGAGGGTGTGAGGGTGGGGTCAGAACTCAGGTGGGGTCCGTGTACGATCTGACCTTTCCCTGCAGATCGAGGAAGCTGGCTGGAGCTATGTTGGGGGCTGGACTGGCCAAGGTGGTTCTAAACTTGGGACTAAAAGGTAAGTGGCATTGCAGGAGCACCCTCTCCTAGTTTCCCCTTCAAGGGAGCTAGTTCATCAATGGGTCAGGGTCCGCTGGGACCACTACTGTTGTCTGGGATTCTCCCCCCTGTGCTCACTGTTGCTTCAGTGAGAGCAAACTGCTCTGGCAGTTTAGAGCCCCAGTGTGTGTCCTTGGGTGGGGGTGGGGTAGGGAAGAGGGCACAAATCGAGAAATCAAAAGTAAAGTGTCCTCTAACTTTTCTCTCTCTGCTGTCTCTTCTCCGAATTTCATTATCCTCCCTGCCCACCCCCACACCTATTCCCACCCACCTCCACCCCCAATTAGGACTCTGCCCAAGAAGAACTTAGAGCAGATCAGTGCCAACATCACTAAGTTTAACATTCAGGGCCTTGTCATCATTGGAGGCTTTGAGGTGAGTGCCGGTCCCATTTCCTCCTCGCCCTCCCACCCTCCGTCACGTCCCTCTCCCCTCATCCTGCCCTGCCGCTGTCTTCTCAGGCTTACACCGGGGGCCTGGAGCTGATGGAGGGCAGGAAGCAGTATGACGAGCTCTGCATCCCATTTGTGATCATTCCTGCCACCGTCTCCAACAATGTCCCTGGCTCAGATTTCAGTGTGGGGGCTGACACAGCACTCAATACCATTTGCACGGTGAGAGCCCCCACCCCCACCCTTGCCTCTGGCCAAGATTATAAGCCCTGGACTGAGTCTGGTCCTGGAAAGTGAGGTGTATTTTTTGTACCAACCCAGTGGCAGTATTTGAAAAATGCTTCTTTAAGTCCAGGCATTTGCAGACTGTGTAACCATTCATATGTGTTTATTCTCATCTGTGAGTCCTCTGGCCAAGAAATGTGTTAAGACTGATACCAAAGTTTTTTTCCTTCCTGAGGTCACAGCCTAATTTCCCTGCTCTGTGCAATGGAGAGGGTAGCTCTGCAGTGAGTGCGGCCAGTGTGCCTGCCGTCCTGAAGGCAGGAACCTAAGGTGCCCGGGGAGGAGATAGTTCCAGGGTTAGGTTATGAGCAGAGCCACGGAAGTGACAAGAATCAGACTTCCTGACCGTGTCTTTCTATGACCCTTTGTCTTTGCAGACCTGTGACCGCATCAAGCAGTCAGCAGCAGGCACCAAGCGTCGGGTGTTTATCATTGAAACGATGGGTGGTTACTGCGGCTACCTGGCCACCATGGCAGGGCTGGCAGCTGGGGCTGATGCCGCCTACATTTTTGAGGAGCCCTTCACCATTCGAGACCTGCAGGTAGACAGCCACCCAGAGCCTGCTAGGTGGCTCTCCCCTGCTCCAGTCTGTCCCCACCATCCCCACAGCGACCTGAGCTGAGAGAGCTCAGGGTGGGGACAGAGCTGGGAGTCCTGCGAGGAGCACTGAGCAGGCGTTCCCTTGGTGTGACCTCGCATTCATGACCACAGTGCCTACTGTTGGGCATTCATTTAGAAGGATGGCATGCTGCTCGGACCTTTCTGTGTGTTTTCCCTTTTATTTTCATAACAGACATGCTAGGGCGATGCTATCTTCATATTACAGACGAGAAAGGTTTAGAGAGGTTAAAAACATTTCTCAACCCATACCTGATTGAGAAAGTTGATGACCTTTCTACTACATCGCACTGCCCTTCCCATTTCTCTTGCTACCACCGTGGGCTCCTCTCATTCCAGTTTTGAGAAGGGGGTGCCCGTTCACCTCCTGGGTGAGGCTCTGACTCCTCTCTCAGAGGGACCCTATGAGCCTTACTTTCCGAGATCCCAGCTCCCTGGAGGAAAAAAAAGAGCCTCACCGTGGAAACTGAAGGAGTTCCCTAATCCAGGACTGCAGCCAGCCCCCACCGGAGTGGAGGGAGGGACTTTGTCTCTGCTACCCCCAACTCAAAGCCCAAATGAAGGAACAGGTTCCTCCCAGGTGTACATACAAGCAACTCCTGTAAAGACTGACGCTGAGAGCAGAGTCAGCCTTCCAAGGGAACCGGAAACCCCGAGGAAGGGAAAAGGAGAGGGGTCGCCAGGGGCTAAAACTGACAGTCACCACGGCTGTCTCCCACTTCTTCTTCTGCCTGCCTCATTTGCGGTCTTCATTTAAGTTTCAGTCTTCCCTGAACTTCCTAAGGGGATCAGGCCTAGTTCCCTGTGGGGGAAGCCTGGTGGGGAAGAGGTCTCTGCACTTGCCCGACCTTATCCACTCCCACAGACTTAGGATTTACTGCTTCATTTTTTAGGCGAATGTTGAACATCTGGTGCAAAAGATGAAAACCACTGTGAAAAGGGGCTTGGTGTTAAGGTACCTCATCCACAGTTTGCTAACTAACTGAAGAGAGAAAAGAGCCAGGCGTTGGCCCTAGCCCACAGAACGGGTCCGGGTTGGGACACTGAGGAATCTGGATACAAAGGGAGGGAACCTGAATCATGGGAGGGGCTAGCAGAGGGGAGAACAGAGCCTGCAGAGGCAGAAAGGGGGTGCTGGGGTGGGGAGACAACCAAAGTCACGGCATTTGGTCTCTCCCTGGCAGGAATGAGAAGTGCAATGAGAATTATACTACTGACTTCATTTTCAACCTGTACTCCGAGGAGGGGAAGGGGATCTTCGACAGCAGGAAGAATGTGCTTGGCCACATGCAGCAGGTAAGGAAGACGCCCTGGTCATGCCCTTCACCAGACAATCATACCCTTCCAGCTATGAGGCCCCCACCAGCCTCTGACCTGCTGGAGGCTGTCAGTGCCTCAGACAGCATGGGCCTACAGTCTTTCACAGTCATAGAACCACACCGTCTTTACCCTGGAAATGGCCTTAGAGATTATGTGGCTCATCCTCTTCAGTTAGGGCAGGGCTTCTCAACCTCGGCACTATTGCCGTTTTGGCAGGATAATTCTTTGTCGTAGTGGCTGTGCTGGGCCTCGTAGGACAGTTTAAGAGCATCCCTGGACTCTGCCCATGAGATACCAGTAGCACGGCCACTCCAAGTTATCACAGTGAAATCTGTCAATGTCCCCTGGAGGGCAAAATTGTCTCCAGTTGAGAACCACTGGTTGCAATGAAGAAAATGAGGCCCAGAGAGGAGAAATACTTTTTTCAGGGCTATTCATTAAGCTTGGATGAGAGCCAGAATGAGCCTCAGCCAATGTGTTCCCTCCACACCATTTCACACGGAGCCTGTGGAATAGGAGTGCAGGCACCTTGCTGCTGTTGAGCTCCATCTCCACTAACTGGGTTTCAACGGAAAAGGAATTCCTTTCTACCACCCACATCCAATCCCCACATCCAGTCCCCACCCAAGGTAGTCATCTGAGACCTTCCCCATCCCAGATGTCCCCAGCTGATGCTATCTAAGCATTGCCCTTTGACCTTCCTCTACCCACAGATGAATTCCCAGTATCTCAGTTTGAATGAGTACCTGCAGGAATGGGGTACTATTACATGAAAGTATGAAGACCTCGTTCCTGTTTTTCCTTCCCACTTCCCACCCTACTTTCTCTTAGTTCAGAAAAAAATCTCGCCAAAACCGGTTTGGCTCAGTGGATAGAGCGTCAGCTTGGGGACTGAAGGACCCAGGTTCGATTCCGGTCAAGGGCATGTACCTTGGTTGCGGGCATATCCCCAGCAGGGGGTGTGCAAGAGGCAGCTGATCAATGACACTCTCTCATCGATGTTTCTAACTCTCTATCTCTCTTCCCTTCCTCTCTGTACAAAATCAATAAAAATATATTTTTTAAAAAAATCTACATGCAACCAGTGGTTCTCAACTGGAGACAATTTTGCCCTCCAGGGACACTGACAGATTTCACTGTGATAACTTGGGGTGGCCGTGCTACTGGTGTCTCATCTACATCTACATCTAAAAGCATAATATGCTAATTAGACTGGATGTCCTTCTGGATGACCTTCCAGACGAAGTTGGGACTGCGAGGGAAGCCTGGGTCCTGGGTGCCTGCCAGTGGCTGGAGGGAAGCCTGGGTCCCAAGTGCCAGAGGGAAGCTGGTGCTGGCAGCTGGGGAGGGGTGGGGAATGAAGGCCTACTCTTGCATGGATTTTGTGCATTGGGCCTCTAGTGCCGAGATGCTACCACGAGCATCCAGGCTGGGCTACAAGGAACACTTCAGTGTCACTGATGATGATGGCTGACAAAGCTGCTAGGGTAAAGAGGGGTAGGGAAGTGACTGAGTGGCCAATGAGACTAGAAGTACATGAACAGGAGGATCTGGGAGTGGTGGAACTAGGAGAGGCCATTGTGACACCGGTCATCCCTTTACCTAATTGGTAACTCTTACACCTGACAAATGGCCAAATATTCCTGGCCAGCTCTCCCAGGTTCCAGAACTATCCCAGGATTTCCTTTCACAATTATATTCCTAGATTTCTGTTTCTGGCAGAAACCAGAGTCCATTCTTTCCTTTTTCTCTGTTTTCAGATATCTCTGCTATTTAGAGTCCTTCCCTCTGTAATTTTTATGTTTCTTTTTCTAGGGTGGGAGCCCAACTCCATTTGATAGGAATTTTGCCACTAAGATGGGTGCCAAGGCCATGAACTGGATGACCGGGAAAATTAAAGAGAGTTACCGCAATGGTAGGTGGGGTAAGAAGGTAAGGCCCCTCTGAAGAGACTCTCCAGGGTAGAAGCTGACTGACCATCCCTTATTGCAGGACGGATTTTTGCCAATACTCCAGACTCGGGCTGCGTGCTAGGGATGCGGAAGAGGGCCCTGGTCTTTCAACCAGTGACTGAGCTGAAGGACCAGACCGATTTTGAGTGAGTACCTCTGCTTCCTGGAGTGATTTCCTCCCTGGTAGTTTCAAGGTCTACTTTTCCCGGTCTGCTCACTGCCTTCAGTTATACTCTTAGGAGTAACATCTAGGATCCGATGTCCATGCTCTAGATCCAGCCTCTTTTGCTCAACTTCTTCCCATAAGCATTTGATAGTTGATTGCCTTGCTAAAAGATTAAATCAACACCTACCTCAGGGGTGAGGAGCCTTTCTTCTGTCAAGGGCCATTTGGATATTTATAACATCATTCATGGGTCATACAAAATGATCCTTTTTAAAATTAGCCTGCTATATCTGGCCAAACATTTAATTAATTCACCCTAAGGCCTTGGCAAGGCCAGACCAAGTGACTTCATGAGCCTTATTAGTCTGCGGGCCGGGCACTCCCCACCCCTGATCTACCTCATTCCTTTGTAGGCACCGCATCCCCAAGGAACAGTGGTGGCTGAAGCTGAGGCCCATCCTCAAAATCCTAGCCAAATACGAGATTGAACTGGACACCTCAGAGCACGCGCACCTGGAGCACATCAGTCGGAAGCGGTCTGGAGAGGCTCCTGTGTAAACACCTTTGGAGTGAGGGGAATGGATTGTCTCATCATGGTCAGCTCACCTCCTGATAGGTCACACATTCACAAGTGTTTTAGCTCATTTTTTATTAGGTTTCCTTTTATTCTCTAACTGTAGCCAAGATCAGCTCTGGCGAGGGGGGCAATGAGTGAAAGCTCCTTTTAGGTAGAATTTATCAAGACTTCTACCCCAGCTTCATCCATCACACAGGCTGGGCTCCTCCACTGCTAGATTTCAGTTACTCGGTTAGAATTTTCCTAAAAATAAGCTTTATTTATTTCTTTGTGATAACAAAGTCTTGGTTCCTCTACTGTGTTTGCTGCAGTGACAAACAATAACTACACTAATAAATGCCAACTGGTCACTGTGCTTTTGGGTCTCCTGCTGTCATCTTCACAAGTAGAGCAGAGCACTACCAGACTCTGCCCGGACAGGAAACACGGGAAATGCAGCCCACGTGAACAGCCATGGGCTTTTGCAGCATCTCCCGGCTTTGTACACAAGGCTCTAGAACATAGTACCCTGGTCCTCACCTTCACCCGCACCGGCTGCTTCTGCAGTCAGTACGATGCTTGACTCCCTTAAGCTAAAGCTGTGCTTCTCTTTTTGATCATATTCCCATTTCCCAGAGTTGCCTTTCCTCAGCCATCCCATGATCTCTACTCCTCCACTGACAACCTAGGGTCCTCCCTTTTCAACGATTCCCCTGTCCTCCTCCCTGGATGAGAGCCAAACTCCATTTGTGGGGAGACACGTATATTTGGAAAGCTTGGGAAATTTAGACAGCTAATCTGGGACTTGATTTGGTTGCAATACTGTTTTGGAGAGATGTCCATTCTTATTCAGCTTAATTTGTTTTCTGTCCCATAACAACAGCTTCTTCTTCCTCATTAGCCAAGTGCCATGTAATGCAGTCGGTCTTCAGGATTGGGACTACAAGTTATACTCCAAATGGTCAGGATGATTCAAAAAATGAGCTAAAACCTCCAAAAACCAGATCCTGGCTCTCAGCACAGGCAAACATATTCCTCCCAACTCAGTTTCCTTACCTGCCTGGTGAAGCAGGAAGGAGGTTCAGGCTTACAAGGGGTGGAGGAAGGAATGATATCTAATGAATCAGTTTTGCTGGCTGTCCAAAGTATTACTTCTTTACTTTAAAAAATTATCTAGGTGTAGTGATTGAGAAGGCATGTAAGAGTCCAGAATTAAAGCAGCCAGATGTTCTTTATACAAGAACTAACAATAAATATCAAGCACTGCTATCACTGAATCCTCAAAATAGCCTGAGGGGAGGGTGACAGCCCCATTTCAGAGATGAGCTCAGGGTGATTAAATAATGTGGAGAAAAGTAAGAACAGCAGAAATTGCCAGTTACTTTCAGAACTGTTTATTTTTTGAGGAAGCAAAAACACCAATAGTAAAAGAGCAAAAGCAGATATACTTTTTCAAATTAGCTAAGTCAGCAGATTGTTTATTTCTATTTGTAGTTCCCAATTGTTTTTTTTTTTTTTAAAGGTTTTTCAAGTTTGCATACAGGTCATCTAAGACCAATAATAACTTGATCTAGCCCTAGCTGGTTTGGCTCAGGGGATAGAGTGTCGGCCTTTGGACTGAAGATACCAGGTTTTTATTCCAGTAAAGGGTACATGCCCGAGTTGCCGGCTCTATCCCCAGTAGGGGGTGTGTAAGAGGCAATGAATCAATTATTCTCATCATTGATGTTTCTCTCTCTTCCTCTCCCTTCTTCTCTGAAATCAATTAAAAATAATAAGTTGATCTAGTTTAGGGACATGGAAAGGAGTATTGTTGACTAAGTATTATTCACTAAAACAGATCTTTTTGGGTAGATGGGCCATCTCTAAAAAGACTCTTAAAATGCTCTTCCCAGAGCCCCAACTCCATCCCTCCACCAATGTCTTGTTTAGATCAGTAAAGAGCCAATTTTCCAAAACAAATAATAAAAAAAAAAAAAATTCCAAGCCCTTAGCAAAGTGAGCTTCATATAGGGAATGAGGAAGACTCACGGGAAAGGCAGCCCAACTCCTCTCCTACTAGAGCAAACACCTTCCCTCGGGTGCAGGAAATGCCTGCTAAACCATTAGAGCAAGCTGGCTTTCAGGAAGAGAAAGAACTGCAGCAGAAGAAAGTTCTTAGAACTGCTTAGAACCTGCTATCCTACTATGTGGAAAGCAGTGAGACAATCTTTCTGAAATAATATTGCTGAATTATTGTAATCCTTAGGCACAACCATGGAAAAGAGGCAAAGACTGCTGTTTCTTTTGATGGTGAGAAAGGGGGCCAGTCCCTTCTGAATGCCCCATGAGGTAACACTCGAGGGATAACATCCAGCCCAATTCTCCATATGCACACTACTTGAGGCTATATAATACCTTCATCTTTGGGCAAACGTTAGATGGAATTTTCTTAAACTTCTTCACAGATCAATGAAAATGCTTCTAGAGGATTGTTCCAAACTGTTAATTATGTCCCCAAAGGAAAACCAAACACACATTCTTTGAGTATTTTGTACTTTTCATCTTCCTAGAGAAAATGAGATTGTACTGTTGGCTTTTTCCCTAAGAAGGAGGAGAGATGGGAGACCTCTTCCCAGGGTGCAATGTAATAAGTAAACAGAAGACAAAAGTGAGAGATCTTTTTCTTGTTGTTTGGTTGCTTGGTTTGGGGAGAGGAGGTTACTGTTGTGACATGTTGCCTCAAAATATAAACAACACAACAGGAACAGCTGCTTTTCCTGATTTCCAAGACACAGAGACAGCAGCACAGGGGAAACCTCATCCAGAGTTGTCTGCGTGATGGCGCAAACGTCTCCTCCAGGCTATTCTACGAGTAATAGGTATTCCTTCAGAGAAGCTGGCAGGGGAAGGCCCTTCACTGCATCTGGCAGATACTGGAGTCCCAGGCTACGGCGCACAGCATAGCGAGAGAGTGTTTTTAGAGTTCCTGGGGCTGAGCACAGAACAGTCAGTTTTTCACATAGCTGCTGGTCTCTGGCCACTTCTCGTGGCATAGTGCCATTTTTCCTTAATTCAAAGTGTCCAACAGCCCTGTGGAGGAGCTCAAAGCAAGAGTCCTCTTTCTCAGTTCCAAGTCCCCTGACTAGCAGAGCCACCAGGCGGGAGATGGGTGTCTGGCCTTTTAGGTTGATGACTCTGACCTCTGCACCATAATCAAGAAGGATGCTGACGCTCTCAAGATTTCCCTTCATGGCAGCCCAGCTGAGTGGGGTATCGTTGTTGTAATCCAGGGCATTGACAGAGGCCCCACTCTCTAGGAGGGCCCGCACACAGTCAGCATTGTTCTTAAAGGCTGCCCAGTGAAGGGGGGTGTCTCGGTTGCCATCCAGTGCATTGGGGTTTGCACCATACTCCAACAGGACCTCCACACAAGCCTCATCCTTCTCAGCTGCATAGTGGAGGGCTGTTCGGTTGTAACCATCCAGGGCATTCACCTGAAGAGAGGGAGGAACTGTATTACAGTAGATGGACTACTGAAGATGACAGGTGGGCAAAGAAGTGTGCATGTTTAACCACTACCTTTGCTTGTAATGTTCTGAACAAGAGGGTCAACAAGCAATTCCCAGGGGGGTCTTGGTGATCAAGGTAGAGATATCACAGGAGCTTAGGAGCAAACAGGAAAAGAACTGTCCCCAAGCAACACTATTATGTGCACTTCCTGGCTGGCCTGCATTCTTTAGGGGCTTGCTGCTGTTCTCATTTATTACTCACTAGGATCTTTACCACAGAATAAGGGCTAAAGAAAGAGAAGACATGCCCTGGCTAATTTGGTTCAGTGGTAGAGGCAACTACACAATGTCAATGTCTCTCTGTCTCCCCCTCTGCCCCTCCTTTCCCCTATGTGCAATAAAGAAAAATGGAAACATTTAAACTGAGTTATATTTAGCTAAAAACTCTCTTTTTCTCCTCCAAGATATTTTCATTTTCATCACTGACATTAATCACTGGCTTTCATTTCAGGGTCACTCACAAAAGTGTATGGATCCTGGCCAATTTGGCTCAGTGGACAGAACAGTGGCCCATGGATTGAAGGGTCCTGGGTTCAGATCCAGTCAAGGGCACAGACCTTGATTGCAGGCTTGATCCCTGGCCCCAGTTGGGGTGCGTGCAGGAAGCAACCAATCGATGTGTGTCTCTCTCTCTCATCAATGTTTCTCTTTCTGTGCCTCCCCCCCCCCCCTTCCTCTCTAAGAATCAATGGGGAACTATCCTGGGGTGAGGATTGACCAAAAAAAAAAAAAGTTATGGAAAATATGACAGTAGAGAACAACATAGCTGTGTGGAGATCAGATGCTGAGGCTGCCCTTTAGGCTTACTGATTAGTGTGTTTGGGGTCTGCATATCAGTTTCATGGCATGTCTAATTCAAATTAGTGCCTCTGCATGTGCATGTTAAGATAGCTCACCATGAGTAAAGCTGCTTATATAATTATTTAACAAGCAGTTAGCAATTATTACATGCCAGTGTTCTAAATACTTTACAACCTTATAAAGAAGATACCATTGTCAAACGAAGGTAAAGAAAGGTTAAGTAACTTGTTCAAGGTCACACAGCAGGACGAAGTGACAGCTAGAATTCAAATCCATGAAGTCCTGCTCCAGAGTCTATTCTCTTAATCACTCAGTATACTATGCTGCTGCTTCTTGCTAATGCCAACCTAAATTAAACTATGGTTTTTACAGAAGCAAGATATATTAAAACAGAAAATAATTGGTAGGCAGAAATAGCACAAATAACTCAATATTGAGGAAGGGATTGCTAAATGATATGTATCTCCCAGTGACTGATATTAAGAATGCATGTCCGGTAGCAGCAGGTCTCACGTAGTTTAGACTTAATCAGAGTCAAGGGACCTTTGCACTTAATGCTCTCGGACAGTCAATAGGCAGTAAAAGGATTAAATGGAAGTATAAATAACTCCAGAAGGAAGGTTGGGAGAGAAAGGGGAGATAAGATTCCTTCTTTCTGGACAACTTAAAAAGAAAGTCAAAGGAATGAAATCCTTAGGATGATTTTACATATCTGCCATGCATTTTGCTTTCATAATGGCTATGCCAATATTACCAGGAGCTAGAAGGTGGGAAGAGATAAATTTTAAGAAAATGTGAAGCTCCAGTTTTAGGAAATCATTAAAGTGACAAGAACATTACCTCAGCTCCCTTTTCCAGGAGTAACTCCACACAGTCGGCATCGGACACCATGCAGGCACAGTGCAAAGGCTTCAGCGTGCCGTGAGTGCAGTTCACATCAGCTCCCTGTGGCAGAGGGCAACTTCAGTCAGTGTGCTCAGCTCCAGCTCATCAAGGACAGAACTCGGAACTGAGTCCAGGGGGAAGAGGGTTCTAACTCAACTGTAAACAGACTAGTGGTCCCAGTTTCTATTCCTATTAAATAATGTTAATATACAAACCACACAAAAACTCTGATGATGAATAAAAGGGACTGTCAATTCCTTAAATCGTTATTTTCTCCACATGAGAGCCTGCCAGGTCATCTGGACATCACTGAGGACATAAGCTGTGTATGTAAAAGGGGTGGGAACCTCATCAGCAGGCAGGAAAGCAGGAAAAGCTTTCTATGAGCACTAAGCTCTGAAAAAGTCAGGATAGTCAGACTGAAGCCAGCAGAACCGAGAACGCTCTTTTTGCCATTCACCAGATGGCCATCACTAATAGTAAGGTCACCTTCACATCTTTTTGTTTACTAACATTTTCAAAGTAACCTCTTAGTGTCAGCATTCTTTGCCATCTAGCCCTGCTGGTACTTCCCTCTTCTCTCCCCCCCCCCCCCCCCCAAATATGATCAAGGAGATATACTACAGTCAGACCAAAGTCACTGAATGACTCAGCAGCAGAGCTAGAATTAGAACGTGACAAAATTTCTACTGCGGAGCCTTCGGATACCACTTTTGCTGAAAATAAGCTAACACTGTATGACTTTTTTTTTTTTTTTTTCTCACTGCTGTGCCACACAACTCTGAAGCACCTACAGAACTCTAGGCTGTAAGTAAGGATTCTAAAGTTGTTAAAAAGAATGCACAGAAGTAACCATCTAGATTCATTTTCTAGTGATAAAAAATGATGCTGTAGCCCTAGCCGGTTTGTCTCAGTGGATAGAGTATTGACTAAAGGGTCCCAGGTTCCATTCCCATCAAGGGCACAGGCCCAGGTTGCAGGCTTGATCCCAGTAGGGGGGCATGCAGGAGGCAGCTGACCAATGATTCTCTCTCATCATGATGTTTCTGTCTCTCCCTCTCCCTTTCAGAAATCAATAAAAATATATTTTTAAAAAATTACACTGTAACTTCTCTTCAATAGGAATAATATGTAGAAAAAGGTATCAGAGGCATTCTAGGATATACTAATCATGAATTATTGAACAGTAGTGGTTAAATAACAGATGTTAAGGTATTTTCTTAAGTTAAAAATTACCATATATTTTAGGGGTTGATTCTATTCTTTACAGAACTAGAAGCGGTAGCTGTTGTTAGAAGACAGGTGATATCTCAAATGTAATCATAAAACACAAAAATTTGAAAACCACTTCTGCTTTGCTGGTCTCCTTCCTCCTTTGGTACATGTGTAGAAGACTGTACTTGCTGGATCTGACAGACACCATATCCAGACAGGGATTTCACAAAAAAACATGAGACCAGGGTTATCTAGAACATATTTTTCTGAAGGAAAATATCAGAAGCTCAAAGTGAAAAAGGAGAAAGGAAGAGAAGCAAAAAATAGGGGAAATAAATTTCAATGGTCAAATTACTACATTTAAAAATACTGAAAAATTACTTTGTGATCTTGAGCCGAGTCAAAGCTGCAAATCTGTCATCCATTAGGATTTCCCAGGAACTTTCACCTCCCCAAGGACTCTGTGTCAATAACAGCACACTCACCCCTCTGATGAGGTCCTCTACATTATCATGTGGGAAGGAACGAATGGCAGCGATTGTTCGGATTAAGCGCTCTGAGAGAGAGTATTTGCTCTGAATGGTCTGCATAATATACCACATACTGGAACTCATCAAGGCTCAGGGTTTGTTCACATGCTCCAAACTGCCTGAAACAAAGAAGTTTTAGGCATACACAGTATCACTGAGCTACCTGTTCTTAGGGGTAGAAGTCCTCTGAGGCCTTCCCAATACTAAAAGCAGATTTCAAAGAGATCAATAATTAATTAATATAATTTTCTCTTAATCTAAAGAAAAAAATTAATAATTGCTTAGGGAGCTGGGTAAACATGGACACAAATGACCTGACCATTAGAACCTCAGTTCTACTCTCTGGCCTAGCCTAGCACAAAATTTCTCCAAGAGTTCTGTGTGATTTGAAACAAGTGTACATAAAGAAGGGGATTTTTTTTTTTAATCTAAAGATGCCACAAAACATTCTTTTTCTCCTCTGAATTTTGTGGTCTTTCTTATCAGCACCACCTCTAGGTTATTTGATATGTTTGGCTTTGAAGTATAGTTACAGTCATAAGTTTTTTCCATCTAAATTGTAATCAGCCCAACCCCTGTTTACTTTCACTTCAGATCCAGAGAAAACACCCAGGATTTTTATTGAGCACTGACCTATGAACCAGGAGGTCATGGGTTCAACTCCTGGTCAGGGCACATGCCCATGTTGCTGGTTTGATCCCCAGTTGGGGGCATACAGGAGGCAGCTGATCAATAATTCTCCCTCATCCCCGATGTTTCTATTTATCTCTCCCTCCAGAGGAGCCCTCCATTTTAAAAAAGAATAGAAATTGTAATCAATTGGTAGGCAAGGCCTTTGTTTCCACTTTTTTGCCCATGTAAGGTTATCCACAGAGACTTGCAAAAAGTAGGTATTTAATAAATATCAGTTGATTGAACAAAGGGCATTGAAGTGATTGTTACCTGTGAGGAGAGGGAAAAGACTTCGGAACAACTACATTTTGTTAATGATAAAGTATCTGTGAAACAGTTTTAAATGTTTTTAACAAAAAATGGGAAATACTTGAGGTAATATTCTAAAATAAGAAAGAAATGTAAAAGTACAACTCTGGAGTCAATTATATTAAATTAGAAAAGAATCCAAAGTTTGCACCAATGATACATACAATTATAGGGAAAGAAGCAGATTTGAGTGCAAAATGAATTAAAAATTTTAGTAACTGGCCATTTGTGACAACTGAGAAATAGATTTGGGCAAATATATATTGAGACCACAGGACAATTTTAGAATGGAAGAAGAAAATAATGTAATATTTGTAAATTCAACTATGATCAAAGTTTTGGCTATATACATAAAGCATATATCAACATTTGTAGAGAAAATATAGTATGTAATAAGAGCCCTCTATCTATAACTATTTAGAGTCTATGTTATCTATATATATAAAAGCCTAAGCATGAATGACCAGTCAACCGGTCGCTATGATGATACACTGACCACCAGGGGGCAGATGCTTCCACAGCCAACCACCTTAGTCCACCAACTTCCTATAGTCCCTCCCCTTCCCATCAGGCCCCAGTCAGCCAGGCTGAAGGACCCCACCTGTGCACGAGTTCATGCACTGAGCTTCTAGTTAAACTATAAATTCCTTGGGGGTAAATCTTATTTTCAATAGTGTTTGGCACATGATAGGTTCTCAATAAATATTTGTTGAACCAATGTAAAGCTTATTATTTGGATATTAAACAATTCAAGACTTGTAATTAAACAATATTATACATATGATGATTACTAAGGGAAAAACCCTAAAATTATTTTGGTCATTTCATATTATATTATATCATTTTTGCTTTTTGTGATAAAGTATTCCCTCATACATTATGTAACATACTACAAACTCTAATAGTTTCTATTTTGCTAATCACTAGCCATTTCTGTTTAAATATATACAGTAATAACTAGCCGAAACCGGTTTGGCTCAATGGATAGAGCGTCGGCTTGGGGACTGAAGGGTCCCGGGTTCGATTCCGGTCAAGGGCATGTACCTTGGTTGCGGGCATATCCCCAGTAGGGGGTGTGCAAGAGGCAGCTGATCGATGACTCTCTCTCATCGATGTTTCTAGCTCTCTATTTCTCTCCCTTCCTCTCTGTATAAAATCAATAAAATATATTTAAAAAAAAAAAAATAAATAAATAAATAAATAAATATATACAGTAATAACTAATAGAATGCAAGTTAAAATTATTCAATTCATAGGTACCAATGATTCAAACTGGGAATTCTTCTCCCCTATGTTATTATGAATAAGCTTACAACTTGTTTATATGTCTCTTTAAAATTTTCTAGGTAGTTTAGAATTAGCATAATATGTCCAAACAGCCACTAAACTCCTCAAAGACAAGGGTCAGTATCTTATATTTCTTGTTTGCAAGGAAAGCGCAGAGGTGCATTTGAATCAGAGATTCCAAGAATGGGGACAGCAGACAGAGACTCTGAAGTGGAAGGCTTAGACCGAGTGGTCCTGTTAACCAATTCCATGATCATATGAAGATGCTAAATAAACCCTGCAATCATTTTGGGGAATGCTCATGGAACTCCTAATATGGCCAGGGGTTCTCTGCTGCTGCCTCCAAGTTCCTGGTGAAGAATGAAACTCCGGGGCACATTGACAACATTCACTGTCAGGAAGGGTCCAGGAAACCTAAACTCGACCTATCTATCTCGTCAGCGGCCATGCACGGTTTGACCCCCAAGTGACCCCTTTCCTCTCCTGGAGCTGAAAGCCCTCTTTCCCCCATTTACTTTCACGTCAAATCCAGAGAAAACACCAAGGGGGTTTTATTGCGAAGCTAGAAGCGAAGTCGGAGGCGACATTTAATAGCTCTGGTGCTTCCACTGGGCGGGGAGACCCTGGGCCCAGCCAGAGGAACCCCCCTCCCCGCCGCACCTGCTGGGGGAGGGCTCGCGGCAGCTTAGTCCCCCGAGACTAGCGGGCAGGGGGGAAGGGTACGAAATGCGAGGACGTGAGGTGTCACTTTCCGCGTGTCTACCCCTCAAACTGCAGCAAGCCTGGCAGGTCTCCCGGAGTCCGTACTTTGAGGAGGGTCGCATAAACGGAGCCGCGGGAGCCCCAGAGGCAGACCAACCCCCTCCCTGGTCTCCCCGAGGCCGGGGCGAGAGCTCAGGCTCGAGGGCTCGCGGAGCCCAGCGGCTGGCGGAGGAAGCGTTACCGGGCTTGGCGCCGCGGGTTAGGGAACCTGGGTGCACGCATTCCCGCAGCGAGGGCCGCACTCACCGAACCGGGGGGTTGAGCTGGGTCGTGAGAGCGGCTGTCAAGGAGTGACCCGGAAGCAGAAGTTGTCACCGGAGGGCTCCCCTGTTTACGGGACTTACAGAGCGACGAGGACTGCGCCTGCGCAGCGACCAGGGCCCGTAGGAGGGCCGCGCCTGCGCAGACTCGTGAAGCATCGTCCTCCCCGGGCCTGAAGCATCGTCCTCCCCGGGCCTAAAGCATCCGTCCTCCTCGGGCCTAAAGCGCCGGTCGCCCTCTCTGCTGGTCCAGAGGCTTTGCGCGCAGGCGCAATGTGGCGCTTTCGGCCGCAACCGCGGGGCTCGGTTTCCCCGCCTCCGGGCTCGGGTCCGCCGCGGTGGGGACAAGCTCATTCACTGGCTGTTGGACCCACTCTGTGGGGCCGCACCTGCCTAGATGTGGCCTGCAGTGGGTCCATCCATGACCCCCGCTGCCTCCCAAGGCTCCATCTGAGATCAGTCCTGAGTACCTCGTTCCTAGATTATTCCCCAGGTCGCCACACTAGGTCAGTCGTCCAGGAGACTGACCAGTTCGTAAGAGGTGTCTTTGGCTAATAAAAGAGGCTTCCCGAATTATTCATAATATTGGAACGCATTTATGCTCCTCGGAACCCTCCAGAATATGGTCAGCCCTCACTCAGAAGGGGCTATACCAAAGGTGAACAGGAGCCCAAATGTTGAGGACTGAAGAAGAGGTACATGCTAACAATAACCGGTCCCATCAAGAGAGATGCAGAGCCTGCGATATACTGTCTATGTAAGCATAAACATTTCGAAGCCAGCACGTAGTACAGTGATGCATGCAGAGAGTGAAGCAGCCGACACAGACTGGTCTACTGGCCGCCTTTTTAACCGAGAGTGCCCCAGCACCCACTTGCCAAAGCTTGTTCTCAGCAACAATATTTAAAAGTATAGCAGACCATCCATGTACAACAGTGAGGGGTTGGTGAACTGGAAAAGTTCATGCCCAGTGTGAGTGTGCCTCCTCTGAATTCCAAACGCAGAAATGTCCTCCAACACCTCCACCCTGCTATGGTGAGATTGTCTAATATTTAAAAGAAGCTGAAATCCCAAATTTTTAAAAAGTGAATTCTCCCAAATTGCAAGTGTTGGCAACTTTTCTTTTTCTAACATATATATTTCTTTATTGATTTTGAGGGGAAAGAAGAGGGAGAGAAAGGTAGAACATCAATGATGAGAGAGAATCATTGATTGGCTGCCTCTTGCACGCCCCCTACTGAGGATCCAGCCGGCAACCCACGCAAGTACCCTTGGCCAGAATCAAACTCTGGACCCTTCAGTCTGCAGACCCACACTTTATCCACTGAGCAAAACTGGCTAGGACTGCAACTTTTCTTTTCTTTTCTTTTCTTTCTTTCTTTCTTTCTTTCTTTCTTTCTTTCTTTCTTTCTTTCTTTCTTTCTTTCTTTCTTTCTTTCTTTCTTTCTTTCTTTCTTTCTTTCTTTCTTTCTTTCTTTCTTTCTTTCTCTCTCTCTCTCTCTCTCTCTCTCTCTCTCTCTCTCTCTCTCTCTCTCTCTCTCAGAATTATTTTTGCCGAAACCAGTTTGGCTCGGTGGTATAGCAGCGGTCTGCGGACTGAAGGGTCCCAGGTTCAATTCAGGTCAGGGGTATGTACGTTGGTTGCGGGCATTTCCCCGGTGGGGGGGAGGGGGGTGCAAGAGGCAGCTGGTCGATGTCTCTCTCTCACCGACGTTTCTAGCTCTCTATCTCTCTCCTCTCCTCTCTGTAAAAAAATCAATAAAATATATATTTTAAAAAAAAATTATTTTTAAA